TAGTGATGTGGGATAATGGGTGGAAAGTCATGGTTTTATGACTTTTGTTAACAGTATTCCACATCATAACATCATGTAGTGCACTGGCAGTTAAAGAGTTAATGCTCCAGTTCCATGGATTGTCAATATTTCCAAGTATCTGGTTCTCAGAAGAGAACTACAACTCCCAAGAGGCTCGCTGTTTCATTTCCGTTTTTCATTCAGCAGGAAAGATAAAAACTGTTCACAAGTCCTGAGATGCTCCTTTTTTTTCCCCTGCTTGTTCATCTGCAGTTGTGTGCTCCCTAGCCATCTTGCTTTCAGTGTTAGAATAGGGCCTTTAGTTTTGGACACCCTGTCTCTTTCTCTTTTTATTTGATTTATTAGCCTCAATTCCAATATATTGTATAATGTGTTATCTTGCATTTTGATATCTTATTTAGTAAATAACTTTCCTCAGATTGTTGCCACTGTTTTGTTTTTAGGCCCATCTCCCTACACGTCCCCCTTTTCCCTTTTCCCCTTTTCTGTGGGGATCCGTGGGTCCCCCTGCTCCATTAGTCACAGAACTGGCCGAACCAGCCTGTTTTGACACCTCCCCCCCCCCCCCCCCCCCCCCCCCCCCCTTTTTTTTTTCAGGCTGTTTTTTTTTCAGCCTGCTGTTTCCCTGTCATGGACACAGATCTAGAGATAACTCCGTGACACTGTATACATGAATTATCTTTTTTTGTGTGTGTGGTATATAGAATGCTGTTGTCTACTTTCTTTGTACCCAAAATAAATACCACCTCTGGGTTTACAAGTCATTTTCTGAAGGTGTATGTGTTTTTCTACAAAGGCAGCCTAGGATTATGGAAATTTTGAGTATCTTAGGAATAACTGAAAATTATAGGACAGAGGAATTCTAAATGATTTGCGATTTGACCCGAGGTATCCTGGTTAAAGTGCTAAAAAACTCCTGGATGTAATTCTAAATAGCTACAGGGTAGTGAGTATTTTGGGGAGGAATAACATATATCTATATGCATCTTTCTTAAGCATGGATAACCCGGAAATTAAATACAAGACTCAATATTAGAGTATGAAAATATGGATTCATATTTGCATTTGCATATTTGCATTTGCATTAGCAGGTATGGACTTGGATAATTTCTTAGCTAAAGAACATATTGATGGCTTGACAATTAAGGCAGTCCACTGTAGTACAAATTGAAGTAATCTAGTATTGCAGTTGTGCTTGTCAGTGTAAAGAGTTACTCATGGGAAGCCTCACGTTAGATTTTCAGGTGTTTTTTGTTGTAAAAAAGTTGGATGAGAGACCAAGAAAGATGATGATCATCTTTTGTTTGGAAAAATATGTTTAAAATAGGCATTCATAAGCCATTGCCTATTGCCATAATTTGTTGGTTTTCTCCTCAGTAGTTGCTATTTAACTACTTCTATTGAGACTTTAGGGTAAGTGTATCAGGTAGCTTAATAACAGATGATCCAGAGGGATTACAGGTGTGTATACTCTGAAATTAATAAAAGAGCATCTGTACATACTACCTGTTACAGATGCTCTTTTAGTAGGTGTTTGGTTGCTTGATATGTGATTTAAAAAAAAAAAAAAGTTAGAGATAGGGAAATTAAAGCTATTTCTAGTCCTTTAAATATTTAATTTAATCTCTTACATCTGTTACATTTTTGAGTCATGCGTGTGTCAATAAACCAAACAAATTGCATCTGGGATAAGAAAAGAAAAAATGAACCTAGTGTGTTTACTTTTGCAGGTGACCTTTGAGGCTATGAATTGTATATTGAGGCTATGCATTGTATATAGAGGCTAGCTCAAAGCGTATCTCTGTTGAATGCCTACAGAGTACAGTACATAGTGCAATAAATGAAATTCCATTAACAGTCTTGTGGGTTTATTTTCAGTTGAATTTAACTTCCATTTTAATGAACTCTACAAAGACAGAAATAAAACTGAATCTGTGACTCAGTAGTGGGCATAGACTGTGCTTCCCTTGGAAGTAGCCTGCAGAATGAACTCCAACTATTTAGATGTTTGAGAATCCATGCATAAGCAAGTTGTTCTAAGTGTCCTTAAGGAGGACAAGCATTAACAAATATTAGTTCACAACAGATCAAAAAGTTGACAATCCAATAATGAATCATAAATCTATAGGAATCCAGGTTTCATGACTTCTTCTGTGGCAGAATGCTTCTTCCTAAAGAAAATAATAGTAATCTGTAGTAATTAAGTCTGAGTAACAGTTGTGGGATTTTTTTTTGTTCTTTGTATTTGGTGTTTCTTGTTGTTTTTGTTTTTGTATTGAAAGAATTGTGCAGAGGAAATATTACATTGATTCAGTGTTGGCATGGAGCACTGAGTCCTTCAGAGTAGGTTCACTGCATTATACCCAGATGAGTGCATTGGGCAATGGTATTCATATTCCTTACAGTATTTACATACAGGTTTTCTTTCACTGTGTGCATATGAATCAAAATATGCACATAACCTCAAATAGTGATACTACCGTGTAACAGTCACAGTCTGTGGGAGTTATCTGACCCACAGGTATGTGAAATAAATTGAAATTGAAATTGAAAAGAAATTGAGATTTTGTTTCCATGAATTTCTGCACTATATGTTACTACAAATTACTACTAGTGGGGCAAGTATATATTAAAAGTTGCTACAAAATTACTGCAAGTAAAGCAACTATATACTTATGATTAGTTAGTTATTTGTGTGCCTGTACATATTATTTGAGGTGTTAATTGTGTGGCGCTCTCTTAAGCCCTCCAAGGAATGGGGCTGAACAACAGTGGAAAAGATGATCCTTCATAGATAATCTGTGCAACATGGACCAGCCAGGCATTCCCAGTGAGAACCTGATATGTATGGGAAGTCAGATACAAAGTTCATTTTGGATAAATAGTTAGTTCTTATGTCTTTCTGATATAGATTCATAACAGAGCTTGTCCTGGTTTCAGCAGAGATAGCATTATTTTTTTTTCGTAGTGGCTGGTAAAGCACTTTGTTTGGCATTTAGTGAGAATAATGATGAGAATAAGGATAACATGCTGATGTTTTAGTTGTCACTGTGAAGTGCTTATGAAAAGCCAAGTGCTTTTCAGTTTCTCATGCTGCTCTGCAGAAGGAACAGTGAGGGTACTCAGACCAGACAGCTGACCCAAACTGTTCACTCTTTGGTCCCATCATATTGTGAAAATCATCAGAGGTAGAAAGTTGTTGTATGAAACCCTGCAAGACAAGTCGTAGAAACTGCTGAAGGTGAATTGAGATAATTTGCAGAAGTGAAGGCCACCCAACTAGCTTTAAACATCACTGAATGAGAAAAATGGTCAGTGCTCTATCTGTGTACTGACTTATGAATGGTGGCAAATGCCACCATTGCAGCAACAGAAGCAGAGCAACTGGCAGAGTTGTAGTGGCAACAATGCAGAGGCAAACCTATCTGAGCCACTACACTGTAGAAAGATATTGCTACCAGAGGAGAGAATATGGATGTGTAAATACATCATGTAGATGCTCACATACTCAAGTATTGTGGCACAAAAGAACATCAGAGCAACAAGCAGGTGGATCAGGCTGCTAGAATTGAAATAACTTAGGTGGACTAGGACTGGCAATGTAAGCTTGCAGAAGGAGGTAAACTGGGTGTAGATCAAGAAGAGAGAAAGCTAATAGAGCAGGAAGACAACAAGGGCATATGGGAAGAGGAAGAGAAGCTCACTTATCTCTTTTTCACACAAGCCAGACTGAAGACAAATTGAGTCAGCAAAGAAAAATCCAGAATCATAAGGATTCAAAACAGACAACTTTGAATACTATCATACTTTATCATTAAAAGCTTTAAACTAAAAGAAGATAGATTTAGATTGACATTAGGAAGAAATTATTTACTCAGAGTGTGGTGAGGCACTGGAAGAATAGCCCAGAGGAGTCACAGATGCCTCATCTCTGGAAGAGTTCATGGCTGTGCTTGATGGGGCTCTGGGCAGTCTGATCTAGGGGGTACAACCTTGTCCACAGCAGGGGCACTGGAACTCATTGATTTTTATAGTCCCTACCAACCTAAGTAATTCTGTGATTCTCTGAAGAGTAGATTTAATAGTAGTAATACTGCTCTTTAGAATATCACAGGTTTAATGAAAACACAACTAACTGTCTATTCTGATTTCACTGCAGTGATCACAGATTAGATGGGAAGTTCTGTATCAGCCATTTTAAGCAAGTATTAAAAAACAGCCAGGTTTTGGTCCCATTGTAGTATATACATTACTCTTGGCCATTCTTCAGAAGACCTGCGATGTGACTATGGTAGGGAACCTTATTTAACCAGATATGGTATTGTTAAGAGTGATGAGAAGAAAAAAAGTTAATGTTGTGCTTTATTATCAGCTTTGCATTTCCTCTGGGTTCTGCCACTGGCAGAGATTAGTGGAATTTGAGCTTCCTGTAGATAATAAGCCTATAAATCTTACTGTTATTGAATAATGGCAAACAAATGTGATGCTATAAGAACTCATCAAAAAACTTATCCAGGCTACTGGGACATTATGACAAATATTTATTGAAATGATAATGTTTTAATTACCTCCATGACTTCTTTGCTTGGCCTAGAATGAAGAACTGTGGGGCTGGATACTCTGAGAGATTGTAGATGGTTGCACAAATGTATGTGATGAGGCATTCTTTCAAATAATGTTTTTGTCCTTCCTACAGAAAACTTGCGCTAGGTTGGTTGCTGGGAGATAAATTGGTAGCCCTGACTTCATCTGCTGAGTCTTCAAAAGTAGAGTTCTTCGAGTGGCTTTTAACTAGATTTATCAATATAAATTACATGCCTAGGTTTAGGTAAGGACATTTAGTTTAATTTTGTTTCAGCACCAAGACAGTGAGAATGTTACTGCAGAACAATTAACTGGGAATTTGCTTGAGAAATTCCTTCCTTTCGGAGAGCAGAGGAAGGAGTCAATGATTAAACCTTTATTTTATCTCTTTGCAGTTATGTGGCTGTGGGCTCCTGGGAGTGGGCATCTGGCTGTCAGTATCACAAGGAAACTTCGCCACATTTTCTCCTAGTTTTCCATCACTTTCAGCTGCCAACCTAGTCATTGCCTTTGGTACAGTCATCATGGTGACCGGCTTTCTGGGCTGCCTAGGTGCTATCAAGGAGAACAAGTGCCTACTTTTGAGTGTAAGATATCAATGCTTTTTTTCATGAACACCGTTTTGTGATTATTTTATTAAAAAATATTTTCACCAGTGCAAAGCAGTCCTGTGGATCACTAGCATTTCCTTTAACTTCCTGTCTTCCATAGGATTGCAGTATGATATTCCACAGGTTTGGTCACAGTAATATTGCTGGTGCTTTAGCAAATGCATCCTAGTTATTGTGCATTCTTATGTATTAGATACCAAAGTACATTACTCAGGTACCTCTGAATGAATTGTAGGGTCAAATAGATGCCCTTCTGAAAATGTTTGTTAGAAGGACTGACTGGAAAATCTTAAGCACAACTGCTTTTGGATTCCAGTTGTAATTGCTCATGGGTATTTTCTACTTTGTCTTTAGATAAGGCCTGTGTCAGAGATTGGTGGAAAGCATCTGACCTGAAGTCAGGGTCACTGCCTGGCTTTACCATTAAAAAACATATAAAAAATAATAATTTGGTAATTGGCAGCATTTGTCCAGCAAGGAAGCACAGAGTTTGAGAACCCCTCTTAGAAAACACACTGTGGATCTCTCCTCTTGCATAAACCCAGGAGGTTTCATCATGATCCTCACCACTCTGAAGGTGAGAGAAGGGCTTCCAAAGAAGATAAGTTCCAATTCAATTGAAGTTCATGAAACACAGGTCTTCTGTATTACTAAGGATCATATGAGTTTTTTGTGTGTAAATGTCTCCCTTATGTGCTGTTGGGGAGCAGCTGAGCAGTATTCCTTATACCACTTCAGAAAATTAAACTGGAGGAGAAATATGCACTTGCTCACTCTGTGCTGTTTTGTTTTGTTGACTTTTTTTTGTATGTTGTACAGCTGGGAAAGGAAATAGAGAATAATAATGGGGTCTATATTGTTCATTTGCATGAACTACAACACCAACAGAAACTACTTTTTTAAGAGTATGTTTTTATTCTTATAAGGCTCTGCAGAAGTCTTTTGATAGAAATTATTGTGTGTTTCTGACTTTTCAAGTACAGCACATCACTCTTTGTTTCTCCCACCGTGTATATGGGGATGCCATGGCTATGTGGCATACCGCTAGTAGTTAGAAGGTTGCTACTGAACATGAAGAGTAATTAGAAGCTGTTGAAGCTCATACTTGGGCTGCCCCTTGCAGAGAGAGATTTCAACTACAGACAGTTAGAAATAGAAATGCTGAGTCACTTGACTGTTCAAACAGGCAGTCAGATCTAGTTAAAGCCTACCTACAAGGGAACATTTGTCTCTGTAGTAACAGGTGACATTTGTTCTGTAGATTGTATGACTGTGTGTACTGCTGAAACTTGGAAACTGATGGTAGAGCAAAATCTAAGATTTAGAGATTACTAAACAGCATGCTTCCTCATTGATGGTAAGACCTACAGGAACTTTAGTGACAAGATAGTATTAACAATTAACATACTTGAACAGTTTGAATTCAAACTTGCATATTTTTAGCAGTAGAGGAAAGGCTTGGTGGACAAGGCCTATAATCTCCAATTCATAGCTGTCTGTTTTGCAAGTGTATATTCACACTGTTTTTCTTTGTTCTAGTTTTTCATCGTTTTGCTGATAATTCTCCTGGCAGAGCTGATATTACTCATTTTGTTCTTTGTTTATATGGACAAGGTAAGCAAGATTAATTATCTTTACTAGGAAGTAAAACAGGTTCAATTTGCTTTTGTTAGATGAAAATGTGAGGGTTTCTTCTGCTCTTCAGTTTGGCAGAGTCTTAACCCTTAGGTCTTGGCTGTTTTCTGTAAGCTGCTTCTGGGAGGAAAGGAAGGGAGGAAATTATAAGGAGAGCAAGTAGGAGGAAAAAAAAAATCTCCCTGAAATAAAAGCCATAGTTCAAAGCCTTCTGTTTACTCTTATCCTAAAAGTTAAGATACCTATCAACATAGTTATTTGATGTCTCTGCAAAAAGCTGATAATCTTATGGATCTGGATTCTGGGAGGTTTGGACTTGGTTATCTTCTTAGGGCCAACCCTTCTACAGAACTGGAGGAGCAAGAAGCGAGTTTGGGGAATAGATGAAGAGGCAGCTTCTCATAAAGCCCATTTGTATCCTGCTATCTGGTAATGATTAAGAGAAGTGGATAACACTGACTGGCTTAGCAGCTCAGTAAGACTGAAAAAATTCTGGGGGAATTGAAGAGCTCTGTTAAACATAGGACAGAGCCTTATGACAGAGCATATCCAGATTCATTTCAAACAGTTCTCTTTCCATACTGTATCTCTTCCCATGTTGTCATGATGATGTCTGCCACTTTCAGGGAGCTGGGGTGAACTTCGGTTTTGAAATAAAATGTGAAAGAGGAATGAAATAGATCTTACAAAATAGTTGTCCTCAATGATTGGATCTATACATAGGCTAACTCTTTCTGTTCTGCCAGCTCATTTCTGAGTTGGCAAGCTGAGCTGGCAAAACTGCAAACTGTTTCCTAGCCTTTTCCAAACCTTCATTGGATTTGGCTGTCAGAGCCAAGATACATTCCTAATTATATCCAAAATTTCAGACTTGGACAGAAATTTATATGAGAAATAGGACATACGAGACCTCTTGTTAAGCATTCCAACTTCCTCCTTTGAAGCAAGAACACTTTCGAAAACTTTAAATCCTGCAAGCATGTCCCAACAAGCAGAACAATGATAATGCCCTTTCTCAATTGATTTCATATTGGCCATTAATTATAGCCTGCCTGAACTTGTGCAAGGAACAATTAAGTTAAGTTTGGGAGATGGAGACTTCGGTTTTAGTATATTAGCAAATTAAACTAGGCCATAAGTTACTGTCATGAGAGGCTGCTGTGATATCTGTCAACAACATCTGTCTGTGAGAAAGTTAACATAAGCTCAGCTTATGCTGATTACTTCGGTTAGTTTGGATCAGGTAACTATATATGATAGACTCTTACTAGATGGGAAGCGGTTTAAATTCTCATGAAAAATAATCCAGGAGTAATTAATCTGTGAGACAGACCTTGCCTTGGCAGGTGCTTGAAAAGACCTTATGAGAGTATTGAAGACAAGAGAAATTTTTTCTGCCCATGTTAATTTTGTGATGTGACAAAAAAAATGTATTCCATATTCAGGTCTGCAAATAGCAGTGCACTCACATTCAGTATTTGTATGATGCAGGTCAGTGAGAGTGCAAAGAAGGATTTGAAGGAAGGTATGAAGCTGTACAATTCAGAAAATAATGTTGGACTGAAAAATGCATGGAATATCATTCAAGCAGAGGTAACTCATTTTCTCATTAGAAAAAAATAGCAATTTGGCTACAAAGGTTGCCACAGTCTGTTAACTGTAGGATCTGTTCTCAATTTAAAAGATGGCTAATGCAGGCTTTTGTTTTGGGTCTTGCACCCAAATATCCAGAAAGTAGTCTGAAACTCAGGATCAAGGAATACTTTGTAAGGTGAAAGTTGCTTACCTGTATCTGAGAACTGTGTTTGTCATGTGAAAGTATAGTCTGTAACAGAGGAAAAGTAGCAAAACCTGCATATTTAGAACAGTTCAGGACTTGTAGGCAAATGCAGATTACCATGTTTTGGCATTTGGGCATTTGTCTCTGAGATAAAAATGCTAACACACCTTGGATATAGGACTGCTTTTTTTTTTTAATGTCATTAAGTATTTGCTTTTAGTTATCACTAGACACACAAAAAAACCCTTGAAAAACAGTAGTTTAGAGGACTTTAATGAATTGATGGAGTGCAGCCTTCCTGAGAAGGACTTTGGGATACTGATGGATGAAAAATTGGAAATAAGATGGCAATGTGCACTTGCAGCCCAGAAAACCAATTGTATCTTGGATACTTCAAAAGAAGCATGGCCAAGAAGTTGAGAGAGATTATTCTCTCTCTCTGCTCTTGTGAGACCTCAGCCTGGAGTTCTGCATCTCCAATTCAAGAAATGAAGGGATATGTTGCATCAGATCCAAAGGAAGGCCACAAAAAATGATCAAAGGCTGAAACTTCTGTCCTACAAAGAAAAGTTGAGTGAGTTAGGGTTTTTTTTAAGCCTGGAACAGAGAAGGCATCAAAGAGACCTTATTACAGCCTTCCAGTGTATAAAGTCAGCTTGTAAGAATGACTGAGAAGTACTTTTCTACTATACTACCAGGATATGCAGTGACAGAACAAGAGGTAATGGTTTTAAACTAATGGTCAGTAGATTTAGGTTGGATATAAGGAAGAAATTCTTCACTAGAATTTCTGGGGGAAGTTGTCCAGAATAGTAGTGGATGACTTGTCATTAGAAGTGTTTGAAGTCAGGTTGGATAGGGCTTCAAGCAGTGAAAGATATCCTTGCACTTCACAGGGAATATGGAAATAGATGACCTTAAAGGGTCCCTTCCAACCCAAACCATTCTATGACACTGTGATTCTAGCTGAAAGTTTGCTATGGTATACTTTTCACAAATTGTGTATAGTTAAGATAATTTATTAATCTTTTACCATAGATGAAATGCTGTGGTGTAAATGACTTTACGGATTGGTACCCAGTACTGGGAGAAAACATTGTCCCAGACCGATGTTGTACAGAAAACTCTCAAGACTGCGGATGGAATTCCACTGAATTAGTGTGGAAAACGGTGAGGTCAAGTCTTAGAGAGGGGTGGGAAGGAACAAAATAGAGGGAATGCATATGAAAGAAATGTAACCTTGAGAATTCGATTTTCATCTTACAGGGATGTTATGAGAGAGTTATGACTTGGTTTGATGAGAATAAGCATGTCCTTGGCTCAACTGGGATGTGTATCCTTATAATGCAGGTAATGCTGGTATGATGTGTGTAAACACAGATTTAACTTGCTCTGAACATCCTTGTTTCTGTTACATGAAAAGTGGTCCTCAACCGCTTTGAGTTTGATCATGTTTTCAAAAATGTCAGATTTATTCTATGAGGTTATTTGAGGCTTTATCTTTGTAAAGAATACAGGTCAGTCATCATGCTGACCCTCAAAGAAGACATACTAGAGAGGGGTTTCACTTATTTGCATTTTTATTTCAGAGCCTAGGGTTACCAGGTTTAGTATCCATTTGTTACCTTGTCTTTTAGAGGACTGTACTTTTTTAAATTTGGAGGCAAGTTCTGGAAATTGCCAGAATGAATTAAATCATGGCTACTGAGCTGAGTAAGTTAATGTGTGTGTAAAAAAGGAAATACAGAAGTATCAACATAGTCTAATATTGTTTGGGCACTCCTGCATAACTGTTGTACTTTGTACAGACTGCCAGAATCTGATGTTTTCAGTCACAAGTTTTTTTGGTTAATCAAGCACAAGATTTTGGATAAAAAAGAAAAGTGACACACCTGTGTTTTTCTGAATATATATATATTTTTTTGCATGTGTGACCAAGACCACTGAGAGCTTTTTGCTTTCATCACTGCTTTACGGATGATACATCTTCAGGCATTGCTGTGTGCCTTCATAATATGCCTCCTAGTTTACTGATCAGTGCTGAAGACAGAAAAATCTGACTAGTGTAGAATGACTTTTAAAACTAAAGTTGGACCATGAACACAGTTTTGGCCATATTCTTGTACTGAAGCCTTCATTGTTTGCTTTCCTTCAGATTCTTGGCATGGCCTTCTCCATGACACTCTTCCAGCAGATTCACAGGACTGGCAAAAAATATGATGCTTAAAGCCTCTGAAACATTATCACATCAGCCCTTCTGTTTGATCATAAAAATGAACAAAAGAAGTGACTGCAAAGAGTATCAAGCCAAGCCCTGCTGACTGAATCCCTCCCACTGTCTGATCTACTTTGTTGTTACTTGGACAGATATTATCACAACTTGTTGTTTGATTCATATTTTTGTCTGTTTCACATTTGCCATTTATTTGCCAAAGAGAGGGAAAAAAGCTTCCGAACCAATGGATTTTCTAAACAAAATCATAGATCTGTTCCAAGACTATTCCCTTGATTTAAGAACACATTTTGCTTTACCAATACATGCTAAATGTGCAGAAGTTATATAAGTTAAACTTTAAAGGAGAATTCTTCAAAGTCTTCCATTACGTTTTCAACCCTCATGTTCAGTTCACTGGAAGTCTTGTAAAAGCCACTCTAACTGGGAGTCCTATGTATTGGAGCTTCTTGTACCTGATGGTGTATACTTTTTTGTTACAATAATGATGATTATTAATATTATGATAAATATAGCTTAGAATTTAGTAGCCTGATTTATAACTTTTATATAGTATATCTGTTTTTACACATTTATTGTACATTAGTGTAGAAACCATTGTGCAGTGTCCTGAGGATATGTTTTTCAAAGTTGACAGTTGGGGGGGATAGATAAAGAGAATGTTTCTCAAATTCACTACTTGAGAAACACTCCTCTTACCTCCTACCTACTATTCCTGTGAGGCTAAATTTCAATGTCTTTACCCAGCCAAAGCAGACTGTGGCACTGTAATTGATGGTCCTTATTAGACTGCTTTGATGTTATGCTATTTTGAAATCTAAAAGTACTAGCTAAGTGAGTAGTTCTCCCTGGCATAAAGGAGAAAAGTTGCAGTCTGACCTGCTGGTCACTTGGCAGCAGATTTCACAGACTGTATTGTCTGTTTCAAAAAATTTGCCTAAAGCATGGTGTGCTACTGGATATTAGAAAGAGGGTTAGCAATTGTATTACAATTTTGTCATGCTATGCCTTTCAGTGAAGGGGTTCCATCAAAGAAATGACAGCTATCTCTCTGATCTGGAAAAGGTGTCTCTGGACAGAGAGGAACATGAATTTGATTAAAGAAGAGCTGATTCAGAAAAGGGACAGTTTCCAAAAGAAACTCAGGGAGACTATGCACTGTCACACCTTCAGCACAGAACTGGTTCATGCTGGGAGACTGCCAAGTCTACCCAATGAGGTAGAGTTCACTGAGATGTGATGCATAATTTTTAGCCGTATTCTGACTACAAAATTTGAACAAAAATTCTAGTTAGAATGCCATTTTATTGCAAACCAATGCAATTTACTTTTTTTTTTTTTTTTTTTTTTTTTAAGAGATCTCTCCTAAGTTTTACAGTTTTGTGAAGGAAGAAGAAAAGGCCATTGGAGGATGTTGTGTTTTAGCTCCAGTCAGGGCTCAACTCAGCTCTGAAAGGAATTCTACTGCTTATATTAGCGGCAGTTAGAGGGGATCTTTTTAGGTTACCTCATCCAATGTCACTCTCAGAAGAGAGCTGTGACCTATGTGAGGTGGAACTCACTATGATGTTATTAGACTGAATAACAGAAACTGCTAAGGATGGAGATTTTATGCTTCTGTGATATCCCATTCAGAGCCATGCCATGTCAAACTACTCCTGTGGTAAATACATTTCTCCTAATGTCCAGTCTGAATATTTATGCTTTAAACTCTTAAAATATATTGGTTTCATTGTATAATTCAGCCAATCTTTTCATGATGAGCTGAAATAACAGTTGGGCCGCTTCCTATCTGGGAAGTATGAGTACCCTGTTTATCTTCATAGTAGGTTCTGTTTGCATTTGTAAATCGGACAGCAATAGCATTTTGTGTGGACTTTGTCACTTTTTGACGTTCCTTTGAGATCAGTATGATGGAAAGAGTGTGAATGCATGGGACAGAGAGATGAATTTGGATTTTGGATATTACAGTGATGAAGGCAGTTACTAATCTTAAAGCATGGCCTTTGTCCACAAGAGCATGATGCCTGAAGTTTCACAAATCTCTTGTTTCCTACTGAAAAATGCTGTATGGGCTCACCTATTTAATTTGCATTGCCTTTGAAATCCAGGGAAGGAGTAGAAGGAAAGCACAGAAACTGAATCCAGTTTTAATTCCATTTCTAACAAAAATTGGGACCAAGAACATCTGAGCCTTATTGGAGATGTTGCTCATCGATGAAGGGGCTCTGATGCCCAGTGTACTTGCTGCTACATGTAAGACTATATACAAAATTAGTAAAATGTATTGCTATTTCTACAAGAAAAGACAGAACAATTTTCATCTAATGGCTCTATTGCATTCTCCCTTTGGGCAAAGGTGCTTTGCTTTCTTTAATTTTCTCTGGGGTTCAAGAAGAACAAGGCGCATCACATCACATCTGTCCTCTTGGGTTGCACAGTGATACCTGCTACACCTTAAATTTCAATCTACATACAGCTTTTATACAAAAAAGAAAAAAAAAAAGAAAAAAAAAAAGTGAAAATAATAAGAAAGTAAAAAAAAAAAATTAAAGTTTATGAGTAAAACAGAGGAGAAATGCGTAGTTGCAAATTTGACTATTTTGCCTTCCGTCTAAACTTATTTTAGAATGCTTCATTCCGTTTTGCAATCTAATAGTAAGTAGCATAGATCCTAATCTGAAGATTACTTTTATTATTCTAAACACAATATTAATTGAAGTAGTTACATAAGCTTTGTGTATTCATCTTTGTGAAGCCACTCTACAGTAAGGTAGTCAAGAGCAGGGCTGGTTTTTGTCATTAGCTGACTCACTGATGTGGGAGAAGACAGATATCCTGAAAAGAGAATAAAAGTAATGCCATTTTCTAGGCAGCAGAAACAGCCTTGGAAACTGAGGCTGCATCAGTAAGTTTGTCAGGGAAAGCACTGACTGTCTCGTAACTGTTTGGTCTCATATATATATGCACTTTTCTTTCTTATGTTGATGGGTGGCTGTCTATGCATTTTCCCCAGACATCATTTTAGTTATTTAGCTGCAAGGTTTTAGCATGTTTTTAAATTAAAAAAAGTGATAATTCAGTAAAAATACATTTAGTATACACAAATATTGATTTGTATCAATACATACCTCTCCGCATCTCTAATTCATGAAAGCACAGTTCAACTGTGTGAAAATGCTGTTTCTTTGAATATTTCTTCAGATTGTAGTGTATCTGCTGTCTCACTGTGCTTTATATTTGGAAGCTGCATCAGCACTTAGCAGAGACATATTGGGAAAACTGCTTGAAAACTGTGGAAGTGAAAGCAGTGAATTATGTTCCCTCTTGGTGGTACCAAGGTTTTTAGTTATAGGAATTGCAAGTGGAGGGCACTGAAAAGAGCACACTCTCTGCACATAGCATGTGAGATGTAGCATGTGAGATGTTACAAACAATGGCATAAATTTATCAATGATAACAGATTAGTTGTCTATGCTATGCATTGAGTTCTTGGACTATGGTCAAGTTATGCCAACTCTCTTACCTGTGTCCCTCCTCACTGTCTCCATTACTATTAATATACGTGGACTACAAACATACACAGGGGAAGTGCAAGCAGAAGACAGCAGAATTGCTCCTTGTGGTCTTTTTTGGAAAGTATTTTGGTCAAGTATATAAAAGACAATAAAGGAAAGGGTATTTTCCTAGCTGATATTTTTTGGGAGCAGCATGGAATAGAGCACACATTCTGATGTAACTTACTTCTGTAGGGTTGAACAGCTTCATCTTGTAGCCTATGTGGGGAAACATGGAGATGTTTACCTGCAGACTAGCCAGCGGTCTGTTGTGCAGTAGATAGTAGACACAAAGAAACAACATACCATTCCCACCAGGTGATGTTTGCACCAGTGTTTCTTCTATGCAATACCTTTTTTGCCTTTATATAAAAGTTTTTTTAATAGGATGATACACAAATAAAGGATATTTTAAAAGGTGCTTCTTGGAGCTCATTTCTTTCCCACCCTCTTTTTCACTAAAATCAGAAGTGTACTAAAAAAAAACAGTAAAAGATGACTCACAGAGATCCATTCCTACTTAAATGTCACTGAGATTCCACAGGAGTTGCTTGAATGGGTTGGTAAACAGTGAGCCATTTGGGCAGGACAGAAGAAGGATGTGGCTGAGATAAAGGGCTAAAGCCAGAGAATATGTGCAAAGATATGGAGATGTATTAAGTCAGGAGAGGACTAGAATTTGAAGCCTCTTAGGAACAAAGAGGGAGTGAATAGTTCAGAGTATCTAGTGTTGAGTGAATGGAAGCTAGTAAAGTATGAACTCTGAAAGTATTGTGTCTTGCAATCCAAGGATTGGAAGGAAACTGAAACTTCCATGCTGTTTAGTATGTGAGTTGAGTGTGAATCGAAGAAACTTAACAGCAAAATTTTGTTACTGTTAAGTCAAGTATTCTTTATTAGAGGCACCAGGAAGCGCGGGGGCTATTTCCACCATAAGCACTTCAAAGATTACATGATTCAGAGTTCATTATATTTCCACAGATGGTACATATTCATGAATTACACATGAGACAATTAACATATACAGGCTCCGATAGTGATTTATGAGGTTTTCAGTCTTCTATTCCATGGTCTCTTCTACCATCTATTGTCCTTTTAGCATCATGACAGTCCAACCAACAGTCTTTTACTTCATCCAGTGGTCTTCCTTGCTTGTCCTCTAGATGAACTTTCTTCATCAACGCACCAGAATAGTAGCATTTATTCACTCTGCACTCAGCCATTATTTCTGGACATCTGCTCGTCCTTGGGTAGAGATGAGTTTGGGAACCCGTTTATTTATTTATTTATTTACTTACTTACTTACTTACTTACTGGGGTGTAAACCTGCCCTTTAGTGATGTATACTGGGGTGCAGAAGGTTGTGTGGAGGTCTTTGCTTTCATTATTGTGTTTCTTTTGCCAAGGGTCTCTTATCAAAACAGAATAGCCTTACAGCATGCTTTCTAGTCTATAATATTACATCCACACTGTTTGTTTGCAACATCTAAAAGCTATTACAGTAATGCAAGAATTAATCACATAATACATCAATCCAACAACTGTATTTTTAAAATATGCTTCTAAAATATATGGTATTTCTACTTTTTTCATATCAGCTATTTCTAAAAACAAGCAACAAACTACTTTGTTTTAGTTGTGCCCTACTTCAAATCAAGTGGAAGAAAGCTGGAGCTGGAAGTTTTACAGTAGGCTAGGGTTGGAGAAAGTATGTGAAGTGAGAGTTGAGGGGCCTGGAATTGGAGAGTCAGTCAGAATGAGAAGACTAAAACTTTGACGGAGAGAAGAAGAGGAATGGGTATGGAAGCCATGTATGCTAAGAGGAGGGTAAATGGAATTTGGAGTTGAAAAGTATTTTGGGAGTGTGAGTCCTGGAGGCAAGAGTATGCCTAAACAAGCAGAGAAAAGATTGTCATTGAAAGGTACACATTCTGAGGGGAAAAGAGACGAGAGGTACAAAACATTTTAAGATAATAGGAAGAAGACTAAAGCAAGAGGATATCTATGTTGAGTGAGACTTAATGATACTATGATTCCATTCATTCCTATAGTGACAACAGTCTTCAGAGAAGAAATCTCTTCGCAGCTTTCACTTGGTTTTAGCAGCCCCTTCTCAACCCCACTCCAGGTGTAGCCTGTCACCCCTAGCCAGAATCCAAACTGACCCATAGTCCAAAGATTCCAATCCATTAATAGACTCAAATAGATGGATTCTAATTATAGACTGTATTACCTTTTTCTGTCCCTTACTATTCCCACTGCACATGTAGCACTCTATATTCTCTTAAACTTAGTATGTTATAGGTTAAGACCCCCCTCTCAAGATCCTTAGTCTTCCTTCATTGGCTGGCCCTTTTCAGTACCACTGTAATATGGTTTTGTGCTTTCCTCTGATTGTCAGCATTTACCATAACCTGTAGGCCCTTACAGGCCCCCACTTATGCCAGAAATTTATTTTTCCTGAGAAATTTTATTTGTAGCTGATGCTTTTGTTTCGGGAATCCCATTTCAGTCACAGTTGTCGTCCAAAATCCAGGAAGAAAACTCTAACTCCAGTGCGGTGTTAGAAAGCGGTATTCCTTTATTCCTCATGATACGTATCAGGCAACTTGACAAACAAGCACACACTCTCAGAGTTCAGGTTCTACATTTAAACAGTCGTGACATACATATACAGTATATTGGCATACATATTCATTCTTTTCCAAGAACTCATTTATATATGCTAATATCCCTCTGGGCATGCGCAGTGGTGTCTTGGATGGTCATATGCCCACTTACTTTATCCCAACTTCATCATCATCTTCATCGCTTTTGGCTGACCTTTAGCTGTTTTTCCCCAGTTTGGCAAATTTCCATTGCTTGTTAGGCCAGAACAAGCAACTTCCAAAACAGTATATGTGAAATCTGAGGAAGATATCCCTTTGCAGCTGTTGGGTGCAAAAGATAAAAGTATTCTGTTATGACTCCAGTGCTTCTTGTGAAGCAAAATTGTTGAGGAAAACAAGACTGTTCACAGAGATTGAGAAAAGAAAACAAGGTTTTTCACACACCAAGCAGAATTGAAATTGAAAGTTTAGAACTAACGCTCATGGATTCCTTTTGTTAAACTAATATATTGGTCCTTAAATTAATATCCTGACCTCTATTGCTAAACCAGCCTATATCACAGTAGAGGTATGACTTTCAACTCTTACCTAACTCCACAGACTCCATACTCATGAGAGAATTCTTCTGCAGTCCTGACTTCCCTTTGGCAGGCTCTTTCCAGCCCCACTCCAATTCAGTGATATACTCAACCATAATCCAACCATAGTCCAAAGGACCTTACTCTCTTCTCAGATGTATTACTGAGAAAATATTTTTTTTCTGCAGCCATCACTTTTCTTTAGCAATTTCTTTCCAGCCACATGACAAATGTAGCATTTGTAACACATTTTTCTCTCAGTCCTAGTCCTATGTGGAACTATGGTCCTGGGTCTGTGTGGTCCTGGAACTATATTCCTCCTTTCACAGGCTCTGTATTACTTCTCAGAAGCAAATATAAGAGTGCTTACTATTTTTGGCAGCTGTACTTCAACTGTAGCACTATGCTTTTCTCTGCTCTCACCCTAAATTTTGTGATTCTAACTTTATTGACAAACAAACCTGGGACTTCACTTCCTGGAAAAAAGTCAGTGTTCCTTAGAGAATTCTTCTATGGCCCAAAGTTTCTTTTGGTAGTCCATTTCCAGCATCATTCCAAATATTGTACTGTGCTTTCACTCTCTCAAACTGAACTTGAGCCTCAGATATATAGTAAGGACCCCACTCCTGCTACAGACTCCATATTCCTGAGAAAAATATATCTTCATACATGCTTCACTTTCCTGCATAACTTCAAGTGTTGCTTTACAGTCTCTTTTTCTTTCATCTCCGCCCCTTACCGTGATTCTAGATTTATCATCAGTACTGCTGTTCTCTAAAGGAAGGTGAGGTGGGAACCAAGTGCTCCAACACCATTAGTAGAATCGGGGCATCACCAGGCAGGGCCCAGTTCGTATATGGCCATGGCACTCAATTGAGGCAAACAGGATAGATCTGGAAATGGTGACATCTGAACTGAGTACAGATCATCATGGAAGTTCATGACAATGAGACAAGTCTGAGATGAAACTAGGCCTTACTCAATAAATAGTTTAGTGTTAGAATGAAGGCCAGTGACTGCTAGGCTTGTCCATAGTGATTGCACAAGTCTGAACTTAAGCTAGGGAATCAGTTTGCATCGCAGCATGGATCAAGGGTTTCTATTTCGTGCTCATTTGGATAGATTGCCCTTGAGTTTGTAAGGGGTACTGATGGTGCCCCAGCAATGGTTGCTAAAAAAGAGGAACTTATACTTTTTATTTTTATATTAATTTTATTAATAGAAGACAATGCAATTGCCACTGGCTACTCATGTTTGATGAAATATTACTGCATTGTACATCAAGAAAATTTATGTATCATCATTAAAGCTGTGAATTTCATAAAGTCCAAGGGACTGAATCATTGCAAATTCCAGGAATTTCTTAAAAGTATGGATGCTGATTGTGTGGAGATCTTTTACTTTTCTGAAGCCAAGTGGCTAAGCTGAAGTAAAATGCTAAGTGATTCTATGATCTGGGAGATGAAATTAAGTCATTTATGGAATCACAAGGAAAACTTGTGCCTGAACTTGAAGATTGCAGAATCATAGAATGGCTTGGATTGGAAGGGACCCCAAGGACCATCAACTTCCAATCCCTCTGTCACAGGCAGGGCCACCAACCTCCAGATCTTGTACTAGATCATGTTGCCCACAACCCTATCCAACTGTGTCTTGAACACCTCCAGGGATGGAGCATCCACAACCTCTCTTGTTCCAGCACCTAACCATTCTCTGTGAAGAACTTCTCCCTGATATCCAATCTAAACCTTCCTTTCTTGAGGTTAAAACCAATCTGCCTTGTTCTATCACTATCTACCTGAGTAAAAAATTGATTCCCCTCCTTTTTATAATCCCCTTTCAAATACTGGAAGGCTGCAATAAGGTCTCCTTGCAGCCTGAACAAGCCCAGCACCCTCAGCCTGTCTTTGTAGGGATAAGTGAAGTGCTCCAACCCTCTGATCATCTTTGTGGTTCTCCTCTGGATCCTCTCCAACAGCTCCATGTCTTTCTGTATCCCCTGATCTGGACAGAATACTCCAGATGGGGCCTCATGGGGGAAGAGCAGAGAGGGACAATCACCTGTCCCTGCTGGCCACCCCTCTTCTGATGGAGCCCAGGATGCCATTGGCCTTCTGAGCTGCAAGAGCACACTGCTGGCTCATGTTCAGTTTTTCATCCACCAGGACCCCCAGGTCATTCTCCACAGGGCTTTTCTCAAGGAGTTCTTCTCCCAGCCTGCATTTGTACCTGGGATTACTCCAACTCAAGTACAAAACCTTGCACTTTGCTATGTTGAACTTCATTAGATTCACATAGGCCCACTTCTTGAGTTTGTTGAGGTTCCTCTAGATGGTGTCCCTTCCTTCTTATCTATCAACTGCACCACTCAGTGTGGTGTCATTGGAAAACTTGCTGAAGGTGCACTTTAACTGGTCATTGATGTCATTGATGAAGATGTTGAAGAGCATTAGTTCCAAGATAGGCTCCTGGGGAACACCACTTGTCAACAGCCTCCACCTGGACCTGGTGCCATTCAACCCAACCCTCTGTCTATGGCCTTCTAACCAATTTCTTATCTACCCAATAGTCCACCCCTCTAATCCATATCTCTCCAATTTACAGATAAGGATGTGGAGTCATGTTAAAGACCATGTTAAAGGTCTTTCATAAGTCCAGGTAGATGACATTGGTCACTTTCCATCATCCACTGATGTTGTGACTTCATCATAGAAGTCCACCAAATTGATCAGGCACGATCTTGTCTTGGTAAAGCCATGCTGGTTGTTTTGGATCATCTCTCACATGCCTTAACATGTTTTCTAGGATGATCTGTTCCATCATCTTCTCAGGCATAGTGGTGAGGCTCACTGGCCTGTAGTTCCCCAGGTCCTCCTCCCTCCTTTCTTGTAAATGGGAGTGATGTTTCCTTTTTTCCAGTCCCTAGGGACTTCATCCAACAGCCATCATGTCTCAAATATGATGGAGAGCGGCTCAGCAATCACATCAGCCATCTCTTTTAGGATCCTGGTTTGCATGTCATTTGGTTGTATAGAATTGTATACATTCGGTCACATGA